AACTCATGGCCTGCAGGCCCAGGGAGCTGCAGAGAGCTATGGTGTGTTTTTTCCACTCACCCTGTAGTTGGAGTGCGCGCGGTTGTTGCTGAACCGGCCCATGGGCACGTGCTCCGAGTAGCCGGGCGAGTACATGCCGGCCGAGGGGCCCGTYGGCACGTGGTGCAGCACGAACCAAAATCCTGTCTCCTGGGGAAGAGAAGGGATAGATGAGAACCTTGCTGGTCTGCACCAGCCCCAGGAGATCTCGGCAAAGCCACCAGAAGATTTCAGGAGAAATCACAGCCATTGATGGTGACCYGCGTAACGCTCTGCAGCGAAGAGTTTAACACATGTGAACACTGAATTCACCCCCTGCATCTTCAGAGTTAYGTTTTGGCATCAAAATTCAAGCATAAGTGAGACTTGTGAAGCTTAAAAAYTCAAATAATTTTTATTTAATTGACTAAAAATTCCTCAGGTAGTCCTAATCTAGGTACTCAAGATTTGGAGGCTTTGGAAAGACCACATCTCTCTGTTTTAAGTTTGGTTTTCTTGTTTTTATGTCTTTTCAGGACAATAAGGGCTCCTGATGCGACCTAAAATGCCTGTGGAATTGGCATTAGGGCTGACTGAAATTTCAGAGCATCACTACTGTGCTGCAATCAACAAAATCATGGCCAAAGGCTTCTCTGTAACTCCACAGTCACATTTATTTAATTTATTCAGGCTGCACGCTGTGAATTTTTTTTAAATCCATCCAGCTCTAGAAACAACAAGTGACAAGAAGTGTGGAGCAAAAGGAACAACATTGTTTTTACTGGTGGCACCAGCCACATTAATGGGTGTCTCAATCGAGCAGCTTCAAAAATGTGTCACAAAAGCAGATTTTATTCCAGCAAGAGCCTTTCTTGGCCTTGCAGGGCTGTAACTGGCCTGAGCTGTTTCCAAATAAAAAACTTTATAAGGTGCACTCACCTCAGATCCAGCAGCAGCACAGTTTATGAGGTTGTTGTGTGGGTTGGCGATCCAGAAGGTGGACACGGCACTGCAGGTCAGGAAAACAAAGAAAAATGTTAAAATGTCAGCCATCACCTCCCCCAGGTGGGCAGGCTGATCCCTCCCCAGATAAGGGATCCTGCCTAGGGGCTCAAGGAATGTGTTTTCTTTCTCTTCTCTACTTTGTGTCCTCTGTGGCTCACACAGAACATGGCCTTATCTTTTAAAACAGGTATTAAATGAGGAATTCTGACTGCGGCTCCACGCCTGCTATGAAGCTGTCAGGTGTCAATCATGTTTTATGAAAATGTAAATATGCTCTTGCACAAGTCACAGACAAGAACTCTGCCCCCATAGAAGCCCTCAGGTTAATTAGAGGCTCATTTAATCAAGGGACCCAATAAATTGCCTCTTTAGGGCTTTCCAAGTGTACCCCAGTACCTTTTCCAGGAGCTGCTGTGCTTCATTGACTTTGTTTGCTCCCACCCTCCTGCACATTTCTTTTGGGACTAAAAAGTAAAAAATACATTTGTTTGAACAAAACCCCATTTTTTTTCCTGAGGACAAAATAGATGATACTGAAATCTTTTCAAGATCAGCTGCCATTTGAGATGAGCAGTGAGAACACTGGCCATTCTGAAAATCAGCAATTTTTTGTAGAGTCATGGAGATGAGGACTCCACAACRCATAAAGCATGGGTGCGCACTGTGAAAGAAAGATTTTTGGTATTTTTAGGTGGGAGCTATCTTGATGGGCTTTATGAAAACAATTTTAAGTACACCCTAGGTCTATAAACACCTGAATAGTGGAAGGATAAAAATCCCRAGGAAGATGCTCTCCCAGCTTTGGGGCAAACAGCCCAGACTCCTGGAGATGAC